CTCTATGTAGCTTTGCGCCTTTCCTGGAACTCACTTGGTAGCCCAGGCTGGCCTCGAACTCACAGAGATCTGCCTGCCTCTGCCTCCCAAGTGCTGGGAATAAAGGCATGCACCACCACCGCCTGGCGCCCTCAGTACTTTTTGCATGTACTCAAAGTCTATTGTACTATGCAAAGGCTTTAAGAGATTGTCTGCACAGAAAAAGGTTTATTCGTGTATAAAGAGCAAAACTGTATGACACTGACAATATTTGTAGGGTTTCTCTGCAGTATGATTTTTTTCTAATGATTTCAAAGTCTACTTATATCTACAAAGACTTTATCACACAGATTACATTCATAGGATTTCTCACCAGTAGGTGTTGTTTCATGCATTTCAAGAGTACTATGTTTGAAGAAAGTCCTCACAACATTGACTAAATTCAAGGGATTTCAATCTAGTATGTGATCTTTTATGCATTTGAAGATGACTGTGATGACGAAGAACTTTACCACATTAATTATGGTCATAGGCTTTTGCTCCAGCATGTCTTCTTTTATGTATTTGAAGAGTACTGTGATGAGCATATAATTTACCACATTGACTACATTCACAGAGTTTATCTCCAGTATATATTCTTTTATGCATTTGAAGAGTTTGGTGATGTGCAAAGACTTTACCATATTGATTACATTCATAGGGTTTCTCTTCTGTATGTGGTCTTTTATGTACTTGAAGATGACCGTGTTGTGCAAAGGATTTACTACATTGATTACATTCATGGAGTTTCTCTCCAGTATGTGTTTTTTTATAACACCAAAGATGACCATATTGTACAAAGGCTTTACCACACTGATCACATTTATAAGGTTTCTCTCCAGTATGTGTTCTTTTATGCCTTTGACGATGACTAAATCATGCAAAGGCTTTACCACATTCCTTACATTCATAGGATTTCTCTCATGTATGTGTTCTTTTATGACTTTGAAAATGAGCATATTGTCCAAAGGCTTTACCACACTGATTACATTCATAGGGTTTCTCTCCAGTATGACTTCTTTTATGTATTTGAAGTTGTTTGTGATATAAAAAGGCTTTACTACATTGATTACATTCATAGGGTTTATGTCCAGTATGTGTTCTTTCATGCATTTGAAGAGTTTGGTGATATGCAAAGGCTTTACCACATTGATTAATTCATAGGATTTATCTCCAGTATGGGCTCTTTTATGTATTTGAAGAGTACTGTGTTTGGCAAAGGCTTTAACACACTAAATTAAATTGAAAGCATTTCTGTCCCATAGATGCACTTTCATGACTTTGAAGATGACCCTCATATACAATGGTTTTACGACATTTAGTATATATGAAAGGTTTCTTCTCTCCAGTTTGACTTCTTTCATCCCTCCAAGCACATGTAAAATCTTTACCATAATCATTATAGTGTTGACTCTTTATATATGTATGAATTAATTTTACAAATTGGTCTAATTTTAAAGAGGAATCAGTTCTTAAGATTTCATTATTGTTTTTACACCCATGTTTTATTTAAGCAGTCCTAGTACTCATCGGGCTTCTCTGTAGCATGAGTTTGTTAATATATTAACAATGAAGATAGAAAGTTAATTACTTGCATACTTGAATCAAATTCAACAAGTATACTTAATGTGGAGACTGCTACATATCTTCTAATTTTATAAGAATTAGGTATGCTATGTCTTCCATATCACTATGCTCATATGGCTTGTTTCCAGAAGGACAGATGATATAGCTAGAAAAGGAAGAATAACAGATAATGGATTTCCACATTGAATTCTCCTTGACTTTCTGTCCTCATAGACTTGTGGTATAGGGATTAAAGTTTCTCCTCAACAACATCCCTTGACTTTTGAATCTAACTGGCCCACTCACTAAACAGCACAGTCACAAGTATATGAGATACACGAGCTTTACTATGGACTATTTGATCAATAGAAAGCTTTGGCAATATACTCATCACTTCTTCACTGTGCAACTTTTGTAATAGCAATGATATGAAATAAAAAGACTGACAGTACTACAGCATAGCTCTCATGGTGTTATGATTGTAATGGTGAAGCCTTGTGAGAAATTGTTTCTTTGACATTGATCTTAAAAGAATGCCTTGCAGCCGGGTGGTGGTGGCGCACGCCTTTAATCCCAGCACTTGGGAGGCAGAGACAGGTGGATCTCTATGAGTTCAAGTCCAACTTGGGCTACCAAGTGAGTTCCAGGAAAGGTGCAAAGCTACACAGAGAAACCCTGTCTCAAAAAACCAAAAAAAAAAATGCCTTGCAAATGCAATTCACCAACCTGAAATTGAGGTTTATGATTTTGTGAAAATTTAATAATCATCAATGCACTTTAAGTGGAACTTATTTACACTGCTGCTTTTGTTTAAAATTTCTAGGACACAATATACTTTCTTCACAGGCATATTTTTATCAGCTTGCACAGGAAAATTACCTTACATGTCTTCTAGAATTTTGAAAATGTGCTTCAATATTATGATTTTCCCAGCTGTATCCTAAAATTGAGTACCAGAAAATTTATATTATTGAAAACATTGTAAAATTTATGTTACTATCTTCAGTGCATCTTAGAAACATGCCTGATTTATTCACCTCACTCTTCTTTCTCAATCAAATTATATCCAAAATATCCAAAACCAAGAAACAGTTGTCCCCTTATTTTAAAATGTGAAGAAAAATTACACTGGCTTACCTATAATAGTGAGGTTTCTGTAGATCTCAATCATCACATCTTTGTAGAGATTCTTCTGAAAAGGATCCAGCAAAGTCCACTCTTCCCAAGTGAAGTTGATATGCACATCATCATAGGTCAATGTATTCTAAAATATCCCATATATATGTACAGCAGAAAGCATGATACTGAGAACATTATAAATGCATACTTTTTTGACAGTATATTCATACAATTCTAGTGCTCCTCATACTTATTTCCTGTCATACATATTATAATGTAATTGCCAAGTCACTTTAGAAGGAATCTGAATAGGAGGGAAACGTCTATCATTTCTGTTCCCTTTGAAAAGGAAAACACATTAGAAGAGAAATGCCTATTAACAAACATAGACACAAGGAAAATGATGAATACGACAGAGTACACATGAGAGAAAATGTATGAACAATAACTAACAAGCCAGGTGTATTGTCTTATGACTTTAACCCCAAAACTCAAAAGATAGGTGCAGGTATATCTGCCTCAGACTTGAATGACAGAATAGTAAAGAAAATTTTGCCTTGCTGGGGATTACAAATTGCTCCTGGAAAGATACAAAGAGGAGATTCTATTAATTATTTAGGATATAAGATAGAGCTACAAAAAATTAGAACCCAAAAGGTACAAATTAGGAGAGATAGACTACAGACTCTTAATGACTTTCAAAGAATATTTGGAGATATTTGTCATCTATGAACTATTGTTGGGGTAAAATTGATGAATTGAATAATTTGTTCAAAACCTTAGAAGGTGACAAGGACTTAAATAGTCCAAGAGAATTATCACCTAAAGCTGAGAAAGAATTGGCTGTGGTAGAAAAGAAAGTACATGAAGGGCACATGGATCATATTGATCCAAAGCTGGATTGCATTTTAGTTATTTTACCTTCTAGACATTCTCCTACTGGAACATTAATGCAGAGGGAAGATATTATATTGGAATGCATTTTTTACGAAATAAACCAAATAAAAAATTAATTTATGTGGAAAAATCTCGGACTTGATTTTCAAAGAAATATCCTACTTGTTCCTTCTACAATCAAATGCTATTACCAGCAGGATGTAACCCAAAGGGTACTCAGAGGAATGAAATCTGGCAGATGGATGTGTTTCACTTTGCAGAATTTGGAAAATTGAAATATTTACACCATACCATCGATACTTATTCAGGATTTCAATGGGCAACTGCTTTGAGGTCTGAAAAAGCTGATTCTGTAATCACTCATTTGCTAGAAGTTATGGCGATCATGGGTATATTACACAAATCAAAACTGACAATGCTCCATCATATGTCTCTGATAAAATGAAACAGTTTTTTGCTTATTATAATATAAAGCATATTACAGGTATACCACATAATCCTACAGGTCAAGCACTTATAGAAAGATCAAACAGAACTCTAAAGGATATGCTAAATAAACAGAAAGGAGTAACAAAACCCCCAAGAAATAGAATGCATTAGGCTCTATTAACTTTGAATTTTCTCAATGCCAATGAGAAAGGAACAACAGCTGCAGAGAGACATTAGATAATAGAAAAAACTACATAATTAAACCAGCCTATATACTTTAAGGATGTGCTGACCTCAGAATGGAAACCAGGGTAAGTATTATGTTGGGGACGAGGTTTTGCTTTTGTTTCTACAGGAGAAGATAAGCTGTGGGTACCATCAAGATTGATAAAGGTTTGATTTGAACAAGAGAAACCTCTTAATTAGAGGAGGTGATAGTTCATCAACCAGCATGAGCATCCAATTTAAACTAACTTGTATCAGTAACACATGCCTTTCCATTTAATCAGATAAAAACTTGCC